TGATTTTAGAATTTCTGACAAATTATTCTCCCGACTGGCAGGAGATAGGCACGGCCTAATTCTAGATGTAATCTGGGAGAGTACTTTTAGGAAAATGATCCATTGTGGCGAAGTAGGTTGCAGCGCACTTACGTTAACGAGATGGGACTTGAAAGGTGTAATCCGAGATATATGTTGACACGGCCCCCGCAGAACCACCTCTCGAACACAAAAATGAGAAGGAAGGTTTTCGTGAAGATTCAACACGATGTCGCACAAGCTGTCATTTGTAGAACCGAACATTAAACGCATCACAAAAGAATTCTTGGGCTGTTTTGAAGAAATCGCATGTTGAAATGTTGAAGATATGCGGGTAGGACTTTTCGAATTTACTGCAGAAGCAGAAATCCGCAGCAGCCACAAAGGGCGCAACACACGCCAAACTAGGTCCGGCGGAACGCATTCCGAGATTGCCAACGGCTAATGCGTTATCCGTCACCACGTGACTACGCTTCTGACATTTCCCGCGCAAAGAGAGCAAAGTCTGCGGCTGGTTGGTTACGAAAACGCGGACGTTCTAACACGCTTTCAACTTAGGGAGAGAGAGAAAAGGAGAGAAGGAAAGGTCAAAACGGGATTGCACACACAAAAGGCTTAACGGTTTATCTTCTGGGACCTCCCAACAATGAGCAGAACGAGAGGAGTTGTCACTTGTACCCAAGGTTGATAGTGCAGTGAATGCTATGTGGGGCCTTAGGCTTGAGGCAGGTGCCATGTTCTGCCTTATCATCAGCTTCTAGACTTCAAGCGCGTGACCTTAACCAGAGATACGATTGGCCTAAAACACGCATAGCGCCTAGCCTGCTGGCGATACCGAGTGAACAGGACAGCTCTATGAAGTGCAGCTTTTGAACTTCCAAAGAAGCTCTCCAGCCCAAAATATAACTTTAAATAAAAAACTATGCGCGACTATTTTTTGAGCACGATGTCCACAAATAAATAAATAAAAAAAAATATATGGGCGATTTCATCTCAACTCAGGCACGGATTTAAGGTCGAATATTTTTTTATTTTTACGAAAAAATATATGTTATGGGGAAATTCCTATAATAAAAGAGGACGCAAACGACAGTTTCGTTGGATTTTGTGTTCTCAATTATGGACCGTTGAAGCGGCCAAGGTGGAAACTGACGTTTTTCCAGCTTATCGGAGGTGCCATATTTAACTGATCCCTTTTCCCTACTTTTTACGCTACATTAATATAACTTTTGGGGAACACTCTGGACATAGACTTTTTCATGCTAATTAAGCGTCTAGGTCCCAACGTTCTTACTGATTTTGTTTTTATTTGTCAAACCACCTCTCTGCGACGTTATTTGACGAAGTTCAGCAAGCTGCGCTGTGTGACCTAATAAACATATTTTTATGATGTTTATTTCACAGTGAAGCTCCAATTAAGCTCTTTCCTTTTGAGTATATTTTCAATATTTTGCGATTAGTATATTATGCGCTACTTGTGGCTGAAGAACGAAAATTTCGAAAAACTAGCAAGTTTGGAGTCGATTTTATAAAAAACAAAACTTTTTATTTTTTTATTTTTTTTTTTTTACAGTAAGTTTATATAGTGGTCTATCAGAAAGTACCAACAGAAATAGTAATCTATTGTTTGAATGGCCGCTATTAAGACTCGAATCTCGTGGGATGAGCGTTTTGAACGGGACTTCGCACAGGCGCTCTGCTGAGCAGAATTTTGTGCTATGTAGGGTTTTCTACTGATCGTTAGCAGTTGCCTGAATATCCATCCAGAAACAATAATAAAATGAGGAGTAGTGTTCATAAAGAAATTTACTTCGATGTCCGTACCCATAACTGCGGGCGCAGCGCTTACTTCATCCCAATACGTGAGAATGCAGATCGTTATAGAATTCCTCTGGGGCCCTTTGCTTTCGGCTTGACATGTAATTGTGATATGTTCTTATGTCAAAAATATATGAAGTGCATATGAAAGATATAAAAGCTGATTCTTTTTAGAAAATCGACTTCAAACTTGCACGTCTTTCTTTAAAAAAACTTGCAAGTTTGAAGCCGACTTCCTAAAGAAAACACCATTTATATTTTTTTTTTCATTTTTTATTTGCAGTTAGCTAATATAGTGATCTGTCAGAACCTACTAACAGAAATTGTAATATATTGTTTGTATGGCCGCTATTAGGGCTCGAATCTCGTGCTCTGAGTGTTTTGAACGGGACTTCGCATGGGCGCTCAGCTGAGCAGAATATCGACCTATGTAAGGTTTTCTATTTAATGTTAGTACTTACCTCCATCTCTGAGCGTAAAAGCCAGTGAACTAGCAATATTTATCCTATCAATATCTATTTTCTTGTCACTGGCGTTATTTGCAGGGTGTGTGAGCTTCGCCCTATGTATTGACGGAGAAGATACGTAACATCTAGACTCTCGGAAAAACTTAAGTCAAGAAGGAAAAGCCTGAGTAACCCGGCATGAATCATTGAAAATAGAAACGAAACCTAACCACATGACTAACACGTTTGAAGCCTTAGAGGCTACGAAATGCTTGTTATTTTACGAAAGAGTCCGTACGCGCAAAAAATAAATCGTACTTCCTAAGCGTCAGATACTAACTCGTACATATATATATGCACTGCATATCGGTTTGACATAAGAAAATATGACAATTACCATGTCAAGTTCAGTATTTCAAACTCCAAGCCGAAAGCAAAAGGCTCCAGAGGAATTCTCTAACGATCTGCATTTTCCCGGATTGGAAGTAAGTAAGCGCTGTGCCCGCACTTATGGATCCGGACTTCGAAGTAAATTTTTTAAGTCCACTACTTCAAATTTTATTGATGTTTCTGGTTGGATATTGAGGCAACTGCCAACGATAAATGAAAAACCTTACATAGGCCAAAATTCTGCTCAGCAGAGTGCCTGTGCGAAGTCCCGTTCAAAACGCTCATATCATGAGCTTCGTGTCTTAATGGCGGCCAAACAACCAATATATCACAATTTTTGTTGGTTGTTTCTGATAGACTACTATATTAACTAACTGTGAATGAAAAATGAAAGAAATAAAAAGTAGGCCTTTTTTTAGAAAATCGACTTCAAACTGGCAAGTTTTTCGAATTTTTTTTAGGCATAGGTAGCGCAATATATACTTATCGCAAAATATTTAAATTATACTCAAAGGAAAGAACTTAATTGGAGCTTTACGGTGATATAAAGATCAAAACGTACGTTGACTAGGCAGACTTGTGCTGTACGCATTACAAGTAATCAAATTACTTGAAACTGATTACTTTGTGGAGTAATTTTGTTATCAGTTGATTACTTTTATTAGGCAGTAATCACAAGAGTAATCTTATTACTTTTTGAAGCAGTGAAAATTACTTCCAACTGCAACTATTTTTCCACGGGACATCCTCCCCCCCCCCCCCCCCCCCCCCCCGCGCACACCTTTTTTTCTGAAATGAAAAAATGAAATTTACTTCTTTTTTCGAATGGAAAAAGAAGATTTTTGCGGAGTTGTAGGAAACGAGGTCAAACCCTTTGTATGTACAGTCTCTGTAGGATGTCCGTTTGTTTTTTTTTTCATTTGTTTTTTTCGAGCCTAACTGGGAGTGGGAAGCCCCAGGGAAGTTTGAGGTCAGGGCGAAGTTTGAGGGAGCAGAATGTAACTTTGTAAATCCTTCGTTCAAACTAGCCCCCTCACGCACGCACACACACAGAAATAAACAAAAAAATGCTGCTTACGGTACCTACTGGCAGCCCGTAGGAAAACCAAAAACCGAAGAATTTCTAAAGCGGATGCAAAATATAACAAAGCCAGCTCAAATATACGTCAAGATCGCGTATTTCCACTACGTGGTATTTGTGACAAGCAAGGTTTCGAGTTGAGAAGTGGTCGGGGCGATCTCTTCTGCTAATGGATACTACACATGATCCGTTTCAAATCCTGGAGCTGCTGCTCTTTTGTATAACATGCGAGCTCATCCAAATATGAATAATATCTGCAGAAGGGCGTGTGTGGGCGAGTTACATCCTCTTGGCTGCCAGCACAAGAAAATATATAAAGCAAGAAAACAAAATACCTTTTATTTGGAACCAGAGATTCCTTGAAGCACTCTAAGTTTCTATTCATCAGAGACCAGTGGAGATGTTTCGGGTGAAATAGCGATATGCGACACATCTAGAAATTTTGCAGCTTGAAAAAGTGATGATCCCATGATGCAGCGCACAGAGATGGCTGATGCTGCAGAGGGAACCCGTTCTTTTCTTCTTCAATACTTCCGAAAATGATAAATATAGACGTTTGCAAGCGCCGTTCCGTCTTAGCCTCGGACCGCGCGCCGAAACGACGCGCACTCTCCAACAGGGCGTTCTCTCCCCCGTCGGCGCAGCTAGCGGGGACGTCTCTCCGCATTTTCACTTCCCGGCAACATTGTGCCGTTTGTTGACTTTACGCTCGTTGCTTGGCTTGGGGTCTGCGCCTTTTCGAAAGTTTCTTCCTCGGTGCGCCTTCTTTTCCGTCACTTCGTCCATAGTGCACGATGAATAATCCTACAAGGTCGTCAGGAGTGCACTGCGCTGTTTTCGGTTGTTCGAACAATCATCGCAAGAGGAACAATCAGAGACAGCAATTGTGCGCTGCTCACTTGCAAACGCCCTGCGAGTGTGGGATAGTTAAGTTCCGCCGTGTCCCCAAGGATCCCGAACTGAAAAGAAAGTGGCTCTCCGCGCTGAACCGCAAGGACTTCAAGCCTACGGAACACACCCGGGTGAGTTCGACATATCTTTATCACTGTCGTGATCTTTTGCGTAACGCTCGTGCCTGATTCCAGGTGTGCTCGGCGCATTTCGTGACTGGGAAAAAGACGGGCGAGGATATCGTGCCGCAGCTTAACCTCGGGTATGCGCGGAAGGTAAATATGCCACTAATCGCAATAGAGTCCCATTTCTGATACACGGAGTGTGCCCTAAACGCTTGTGCACTGACAGGTTTTCGTTGGGAGACGCCGTTTGGTGCGTGACGCAAGTGAGAAACCGCTGATCACTAAGGTAAACGTCTGCATGTCTGATTGTAGATTCTCGCTTTTAGTATGTGACCTCAACGAATGTGATTTCCGTTGCAGAAGCAAAGACTCTCCTCACAAGCTAGCTCTGGAGCTGTAAGTTGACCCACTGCAATATAATTGTTATCGCCCGCGCTGCCACAGGGGCTGAGCCTGACACGAAGTCATATTAGCTTCAGAGCTTGAACTTCGCATGCATAGGATGTGGTGTCTAGCACTATTCTATTGCAATGACTATAAAAAGTTGCTGCATTCCTTTCAGGTCACCGACTGTACGCAACCCGCCGAGCAGGTCAACGTCTCGGCCTCGACGTCACAACCAACTGCTGCTGAGCACACGGTAGGTTCAAGTTAAGCTAGAGTTGATGTGAGCAGCAGCATGATCTGCTGAATGCGATAAACATATCTTGGGTGGTAATCTATTGCACTGAGCATGCAAAGCTGATGCGTTCCTTTCAGGTCACCGACTGTACGCAACCCGCCGAGCAGGTCAACGTCTCGGCCTCGACGTCACAACCAACTGCTGCTGAGCACACGGTAGGTTCAAGTTAAGCTAGAGTTGATGTGAGCAGCAGCATGATCTGCTGAATGCGATAAACATATCTTGGGTGGTAATCTATCGCACTGAGCATGCAAAGCTGATGCATTCCTTTCAGGTCACCGACTGTACGCAAGCCGCCGAGCAGGTCAACGTCTCGGCCGCGACGTCGCAACCAACTGCTGCTGAGCACACAGTAGGTTCAAGTTAAGCTAGAGTTGACGTGAGCAGCAGCATGATCTGCTAACTGCGATAAACATATCTTGGGTGGTAATCTATCGCACTGAGCATGCAAAGCTGATGCATTCCTTTCAGGTCAACGTCTCGGGATCGACGTCACAACCAACTGCTGCTGAGCACACAGTAGGTTCAAATTAAACTAGAGTAGATGTGAGCAGCAGCATGATCTGCTGAATGCGATAAACATATCTTGGGTGGTAATCTATCGCACTGAGCATGCAAAGCTGATGCGTTCCTTTCAGGTCACTGACTGTACGCAAGCCGCCAAGCAGGTCAACGTCTCGGTCTCGACGTCACAACCAACTGCTTCTGAGCACACGGTAGGTTCAAGTTAAGCTAGAGGTGATGTGAGCAGCAGCATGATCTGCTGAATGCAACAAACATGATCGCATGCGCATCACTACTGTGTGATGCACGATAGTAGTCTCAGGCTGGCAGTTGTACTGCAGTGACTAAATTGATCAGCGACGGCTTGGATCAGGTTGCCATACCTGGCAGACCGACCTCGCGCTGTCTAAACCCCCAAACGTCCAATTTACATTTTTTTGTGGTAAGGGGAACATTTTCATATACCAAAATATTTAAAGCTACAGCCCAAGTACTTCCAGCAAAATGACTATTTACCGAACGTTGCCAGTAACTGCTTTTATAGCTTTCAATGGAGACGCCGGCACTGCTGGGGAGCTCTGTACAAGCAACCTCGGAGAGTGGCTCCTTGTAGTCTTGCCGCCTTAGGAGTTCAATGAGCCTCAGCAATGCTAAAGCTTGTTTAAACAATCTTTCTTTGGTGGTACACTGGCTGCCATAGACGCCCAAACGCTCCGATTGAGCTTTGATTTATAGTGAAATGAGGAGCAGCATAAATTGAGGAGGTTGTCACTTTAAAGAAACAGGGGACGGGGTGATCGAGAAAATAAGAAAGAAAATAAGATTATTCATGGCACAGTCGAAGCCAAGAGCATGAATAAATGATCAGGGTTTCATCCCTTGCATAGGGCGGAATAGCAGAGCTGAAACCATATTCCTGCGGGGCACGCCAAACCTCTAGCTTAACTCTCAACGCGGCGGTAGCAGAAAACGCTGTAGCAGACGACGCGAGCAGCAAGATCCAACTGCAGCACCGTTAGTTCTCGTGACCGCCGCCCGTGACACTCGCCTCCGCAGGCGAGAATGGAGAGCTGTGAAACCGAGCTTGCTCCAGTAACGTTGCTTATGGCTGCCCGTTGCCTGACCATTGTTGCCGGCCACATTTTCCAACATCTTTCAACATCGTCAGGGCAGCGTCTCATGGTTGCGAAGAGCAATTTCGGAAAGGGTCTACTTTCAGTACAGTGCTCCCCTCTTTGTCCTCCTTGGTTACGTCACCACACCCGTGACTTGGAAGAGAGTGTTAAAGTTGAGGGGTGCAACACACATGAATATGTTTTATTTTTAAATAATAAAAACAAACACACAGAAACAAAGAATCTTTTGTTATCCATCTGTTGTATGGCCTCTTTAAACTAGTTACTTTACTTCTATGACTATTAAACATGATTCGAGACAATTTAAGCACAGGCTTTTTCATTTTTGCACCACTTCGATAGTTGCTATTTTTCTTTGTACTGAATATTGTTCAGTTGCTCTCCAACAGAAGCAGCCTACTTTTTTCAATTGATAAACTCTGATTTTGTTCACAGACAACTGATCACGGCCAAGTTCGCCCGGATGTGTGCCACCAGGGGATCCAGTGGGAAGACCCGTGTCTTTGCGACCATGCCTACTCGAGGCCCACTGCTCCAACTGCGACGTTTGGTCCTCATGGTGGTCGTAGCACTGAGGCGCGGGACATTTTCTTTTATACCGGTCTGCATGCAGATGTCTTTATGGAGCTGGTGAATGTTGTACCAGAGTTTGCGACCACAAACTTCATGATGTCAGTAGAGCAGCAAGTTTTACTAACTCTGATGAAGTTGAGGCTGGGACTTGTCTATGGCGATTTGTCTAGGAGGTTTGGGGTTTCAGTTTCCACCGTAGGCAACATTTTCCGTGCCATGCTTGCCACACTTGGGCGGATCCTAAGGAATGTTGTTGTGTGGCTCTCTCAAGAGACAATCTTCAGGAATGTTCCGCAGTCCTTTGAGGAGAATGGTTTTGCAGGCACTACTTGCATTTTGGATTGCACTAAGGTGTTCTTGCAGCGACCAAAAAAATTGCTCGCTCGAGCACAGACCTACAGCTCATACAAAGGCCACAACACTGTGAAGTTTTTGGTGGCTATTGCACCTCACGGATCAGTGATGTTTGTGTCCAAGGTGTACGGTGGACGGGCGTCTGACAAGCATATTGTGAGAGACTCGGGAATTATTTCCTACTTTCAACACGGGGATCAGGTGATGGCCGACAGGGGCTTTTCCCTCGATCCCGAAATGGAAGCAAAGGGTGTAGTACTCAATGTGCCAGCCTTTACTCGAGGGAAGCTTCAGCTGTCAGAACGAGAAGTGACAGAGACCAGAAGGATTGCGTCTGTTCGCATTCATGTAGAACGGGCAATAAATAGGATCAAATCCTACAGGATTCTGAAACAGGCACTGCCCATCCAGCATCGAAAGGTTGCAAATGAGATAGTCTATGTATGTGCAGGGCTATGCAACCTAAAGGGACCTTTGATCAAGAAGTGAGCTTTTTTCTTGAGAATTCTGGAGCAGTGAGGTCTGCATGGCATACCAGTTCCGAGTTATCACTTCTCTATCCTAGAAGCAATTGAAACTTCTACAAAACTGTATGCATGGAACTTTTCTTTTGTAATTGCCACTTCTTGCATTGCTTTTTTCGCCCCAGAGTTCCTTTAGCTTACATTTATCTACACTATGTGAGTGTTTTTTATTCAGTATTCATACATTTGAAACATACTTTAACACTACATGCTCTCGCATAACACAATGGCCTTCAAACCCAAGGTACAAACACGCCCTGCATAGACTCCAAATGCTATGCGCATACCCCTTCTAGTAAAAGTGGCTAGCAATATTTTGTCAGATAACCCAAGTTCAGTTCCGCAATCTTGTCTGTTCTTTTTTTTAGTAATGTGTTACTATTTTTTCGGGCATGTTCCTACCGCTACCTTACGCAGGTCCAAGAGTCAACTGTGTATTTCTGTTGTGTATTAACGATTGCACATCTGCCAAGATTACATATTTTTCATTATCTTTTGTGAAGGTGTTGTGTGGATAGAGCTAGAGGGCATGTCATAGTCACAGCATTGTGCTTGAAACTGTTTTTTTTTAATTTCTTGTTTCCCCTCTTACCTGAAGACTGTTGTACAAGCATGGCCCAGATTAGTTCAGCCAGTTGTGGCTAACAAACAGTGACTTGACTTGTGTTAAATAATAGATTTTGAAGTAATAAGCCATGTTGAAATAACAAACTACAGATTTTGAAGTAATAAGCCATGTTGAAATAACAAACTACAGATTTTGAAGTAATAAGCCATGATGAAATAACAAACTACTCAATCAATACCACTGAAAACCATGGATAAGCGAAGCATCACACACATTGTATTGCACAAAACGACACAGTACACTGACCTGCCCAATCACATCTGTGCAAGCTGCTTGTACACATTTGAGAGTGAAATCTTTCCAGAGTTGGTGTCATCAACAAATGCCGGCAAAAGGCTCTTAAAGTAGAAGTTTCTGACCCTTGGCAGGTGGCAGTTCATAAAGTCCTTGCTGTATTGCACAACTGCAACCTCGTCGTGACCCTCGTACCACACATAGAAGTGACAGACAAGCTTGCCAGTGCAGTGCATCGCAAACTGAACCTGGTGGTAGTACTTATTTTTTCCTTTGGGGTCCAGCACGAAAACCCCATTGCCATTCTTGCGGACATCATAGGTTCCAGATTCTAGTAACGCTGAGCAGTTTGGTACATTAGGACACTTTATCTCCAGAAGAGCATCAAGTTCATCGATGATTCCATCAGGGCTGGCTGCGAGCCATGGCAGCTCAGGACAGACCACCAGTCCTACTTGTCGAACAGCACAGTTGTATCTGTGCATGAACTTGCTCCTAGCTTTGGGTTCGCTGCGGCGGCCATGCTCGGTTGCTTTGTACCCTCGAAAAGTCGGGTGAAGATTGTCCTGCACAGCTTTGGAAGGGTTGGTTGATGCCCTCATAGGTACCTTTTTTATCATGGACGATGTTAACCGCATGCGGCGGCTCTCGTGCCAGAGTGTGCAGTTGCCTTGCTCTGCCGTTCTTTTGCAGAGTAGGTCCATGGCAGGTGCATGGATGGCTACAAGCTCGTTGTATGCCTTTGAGCAGGCGGAACAGCTGTTGGGAAGGGTTGTTGCATCTTCATGGCTGCTGTGACCGAGTGAAGGCATTGTATCGCACTGAACCGCTAAAGGGGGTGCAGGGTCTTGTGGAGGCGCCATCAATGTCTCGTGAAACAAGGTCCCCGAGATCTCCATGAGCCCAGCAAGGGGGCCCTCCTTAATGTGCTGAAGGTGCTCCTCATGCGTCTCATACCGAATCACATCTACAGTCCCCTGAATTTCTGAGTTTTGTTCTTCTCCAAACGAAATGTTATCTAGGCTTGCTGCAGTTACATTACGTTTTGTGCCTCGGTTCCAGGCAGCAGCTTCGTCAGTGCAAGCTGTGCCGGTCATCCTGTTCGTAAAAGCGTGTTCTAA